TAATGTTTATGTAGCAATCCTGAGGGGACAAACAGATTGATCAACTATACATTTTTAGGGGTGCCACTTAGACCTCTTGCAAATTTTTTAACAGAAAAATGTCAGGGGGTAGGGGAAGGGGAGGATCAAGATGCCTGATCCCCCCTAGGTTTTAGCACTGCTGACAAAGAGTATTTAGCTAGAAGAACCAAAATAAAAAAAGATCACAGAAAACTAATCCACATTCAATGCCTATCATTCTAGGGTTGTTTTTTTTTTTTTTTTTGGGGTAGATAATTTTATTCTTTTCTTTAATTACGAAGTTTTTTGGTGGAAATTTTTGTTGTCTTTGAGTCTCTCCTTTCACCAAGCTTCCTATCTGCATTTTATGTTCCTTCATTCAGATTAGCAGTCGCCCACTATTTTTAATAATTTGTTTTATTTTTAATTACTATATCATGTTAATTTGAAGATCTCTTTTGTTGATCATGCCCAAAATCTTACTTCAACTCAGGCAGTCCCAGATTGATATTACCTTGAACTCCTCACCAGTTTCATTATACATCTAAAAGAACAATTTCCTGAACAAGAAAGTTCCATCTCACAGCTCTCACAACACTTGTGGCATTGACATTTTCTACATTGTCTCATGTAAGGCTCAGAGGTTAGTGAATGTGTTTAACACATTTAACACGGTTCAGTTTTCCCAGTGGGTGGTCTTTTTTATTTGAAACTTCTCATGGTTTTCAGACAGTAGTACGAGAGTTGCACCATGCAAGAGGCTGGTACCTGATCGTGTAATATTCCCAAAGACAACATTGGTAGCACTGTAGTCAACCTTCATTTTGGAGATGCCACAAAAATACTATATCATAGTAATCTCACATTACTTTATCCAAAGAATAATCTCACTAGTTACTTTGTTTATCTTTAGGAAATTTTCTCTTTGCTTGTCCATTTCACTGTCAGAATGTGGCTGCTTCATCATTCATTGGTTTCATCTGATGTTTCATTCAGTTTTACGTTATGTTAAACATATTCTTCATTTTAAGCATGCTTTTGGTATTGTTTGAATACACACAGATTATTGTTATGGATAAAATGACATACATTAACTATGATGATGTTGAATATATGAACAGTTTAATGGACATTCCGTGTTTGTTTTTGTTTACCTCATACCCCCTGTGCGTTCCAGGCCCCCATTGTGGGGGAAATAGAATAGACCCTCTGCCTCCCCAAAAAGCATGTCCTAAGAGTCAACTAATTGGGGACTACTTTAGAAGTCAGAGTGCATCTACCTGGGAAGCAAAGAACCAACAATCTGCATACCATTAAGTCAGATTTGTTAAATGGATGTGCACGCAACACTCAGGTTCTGGAACAAACTTTAAATCCAGAGGTGGATAAACAACCAGAACTTTCTGCCGGAGTTTACACTATGAAGAAAAACAAGAAGAAGATGTTAACTTCAGAAATTATTGTTATTATTGTGTCTGTACCATCAGGACACTGATACAAAGAAAACATTGGGAGGAGGCCTACATGAGCTTGGGCATTGTTTAAGTGCTTAAAAGTAATCATAATTTTAAACTTAATTTTAATGTGCTTAAGAGCAAGGGGGTGGGGGGGGGATGGGGGGGGGGGCTGGTCTGGATATGTGGAACTCACAGGGACCTAAGGAAATTGTTCCACTTATCAGGAATTCTACTTATCCAGATAGCTCACATTGTAGAGGAGGTACACTAATACTATTTAGTAGCATGGAGTAAAACAATTGTATCACTTAGGAAACACTGTGTAAGTTCAAACAAATAATTAGCAATATATTGTCAGAAAGGTTGAAATATTTAATAGCTTATGGTCAGTTCAAACACCAGGGATGCTAACAAATATAACAACACGCCAGAAGAGGAAAACACAATTAATGCCCAAAGAAAACATCACAGGGGGGAAAAAACGCCAGTCTCATCCACCCCATTTCCCCAACTGTTAACAGAATTTCTTGTATACGAGACACAACTACTGGGAAAAGACAGTTGTGGGGCAGCACATTTAGTAAACGAGTGGGTGGGCGATATAGAAGAAAGGAAGGGATTTTTATTTTTAGTTCCCACTAATCCAAATACTGTATTCGAGGTAACAGAATTCGACTTATCTTGAATAAACTGATCATGTCGACTAAAGCGAAATTCGTCTTTTCAGAGTTCGACTTCAGTGCACTCGACTGTAAAAATGAAATGTATAAACAAACACATGGAAGAGCAAACAGTTAGCAGGTCCTTTACAGAACGTCGCTCTCTTCACGGCACGCCTGAAAGTTTCCCTGTCTCCAACCAATTCTCCAGCCCCGTGTGCTTTCTTAGCCAATGCATCTTTAATGTCTTGTATCCACCTTCGCGATCAACTTGTGCCGTGTTTTCCATAAACATGTACACCTCATCACCGCCGTACTGGATAGAGGCGATGCCATTATTGTCAATCCTCACACATACGATGAAGACGAATATGACAAGAAGCATGTCGTAAGAGTCGACTAATTGGGGACTACTTTAGAAGTCAGAGTGGGAAGCAAAGAACCAACAATCTGCATACCATTAAGTCAGATTTGTTAAATGGATGTGCACGCAACACTAAGGTTCTGGAACATACCTTAAATCCAGAGGTAGACAAACAACCAGAACTTTCTGCCGGAGTTTACAATATGAAGAAAAACAAGAAGAAGATGTTTACTTCAGAAATTATTGTTATTATTGTGTCTGTACCATCAGGACACTGATACAAAGAAAACATTGGGAGGAGGCCTACATGAGCTTGGGCATTGTTTAAGTGCTTAAAAGTAATCATAATTTTAAACTTAATTTTAATGTGCTTAAGAGCAAGGGGGTGGGGGGGGGATGGGGGGGGGGGCTGGTCTGGATATGTGGAACTCACAGGGACCTAAGGAAATTGTTCCACTTATCAGGAATTCTACTTATCCAGATAGCTCACATTGTAGAGGAGGTACACTAATACTATTTAGTAGCATGGAGTAAAACAATTGTATCACTTAGGAAACACTGTGTAAGTTCAAACAAATAATTAGCAATATATTGTCAGAAAGGTTGAAATATTTAATAGCTTATCGTCAGTTCAAACGCCAGGGATGCTAACAAATATAACAACACGCCAGAAGAGGAAAACACAATTAATGCCCAAAGAAAACATCACAGGGGGGAAAAAACGCCAGTCTCATCCACCCCATTCCCTCAACTGTTAACAGAATGTCTTACATACGAGACACAACCACTGGGAAAAGACAGTTGTGGGGCAGCACATTTAGTAAACGAGTGGGTGGGCGATATAGAAGAAAGGAAGGGATTTTTATTTTTAGTTCCCACTAATCCAAATACTGTATTCGGGTAACAGAATTCGACTTATCTTGAATAAACTGATCATGTCGACTAAAGCGAAATTCGTCTTTTCAGAGTTCGACTTAAGTGGACTCGACCGTAAATATGAAATGTATAAACAAACACATGGAAGAGCAAACAGTTAGCAGGTCCTTTACAGAACGTCGCTCTCTTCACGGCACGCCTGAAAGTTTCCCTTTCTCCAACCAATTCTCCAGCCCCGTGTGCTTTCTTAGCCAATGCATCTTTAATGTCTTGTATCCACCTTCGCGATCAACTTGTGCCGTGTTTTCCATAAACATGTACACCTCATCACCGCGGTACTGGATAGAGGCGATGACATTATTGTCAATCCTCACACATACGGTGAAGACGAATATGACAAGCATTACGTTGTATCGCTTTCCAAGCTAGTAGACATGGAGATGCAGCCTGGAGCTGAGAAGCCAAACAAGCATTTCATGCCCTTAGAATGGGTCGCGACATTAGGAAGGCTGAGAGCCACTGCTTTCGAAGAATATCGTTGTTTTAGATATCGTATCTCAGAATAGAAGAATCCACGAAGGGCACGCACAAGATGTTTGATTAATCAACACAGAACAGGCGTCGTCAGTCATTCTAGGCCGTTGGGATTATTGAAAAGTTAGGAGCAAACATATCTTTGATCTGTTCAAGTGTATGTCGTCTCCACAAAAAAGTTTGGCTACCGACTAGGCCTCACTAATCACTTTTCTGTCTCCTATTCTTTTTCTTAGCATTCACCGGCTGTAAACTCCTGGTTGAAAGTTTTGGTTGTTCCTCCACTTGTGAACTTTGGTTTTGTTCCAGAACTTGCATATTGTATGCACATCCGATTTAAGGATCCGGCTTGTTTGTTTGCGGACTGTTGGTTCCTCGCCTCTTAACGCCAGTTCTAAAGGAATCACCCCTTTTACTACATGCTTTTCATGGGGCAGTAAATGTATTCTAACCCCCACGCCCACCCCACCCCAAGCGAGCGCGCGCTCGCACACACACACACACTAACAATCAGTGGGGTCCCGAAACACACGGAAAGCCTCTCTATGAGCTCCACCTGACTGTATTCTTGTAACTATTCAACAGCAGCAGCAGGAGGCAGGAGAAAAACAGAAAAAAATTGAATATCTTTAACTTTGCATTTTTTTTTCCTGCTGTCCTTTGCTAGTAGGACAATAAGTACAGATTTAACTAATGTCTTGTGTTTAGTAACATAACTATGTGGGTGACAACGATATTCTTCTCAAGGAAACGGTATCGATCTCATCCTTATGATAACTAACAAAAATCAGAGAAATAGACAAAGAATAGATTGTATGCAAGGGGTAAGAATAATTAGGCAAGTATCATAGAATTCATCACACAACACAGACAAGAAAAAAACACAATATGTATATTTACACTTGAAGTTGTAATTTGATGGCATCTTCAGAAGAATCACTAGGACGACTTTGTATCGAAAGTGTCCATACCAGTGCCTCCTGCTTGTCGTCTGCTAGTCTTTTCTCTGACAAGCCGCAGTTTCTCTGGCTGTTTCTGTCGCGCTTTCATTTCACGTTCTAGCAAATATTGTTCACATTTAATCCACAAAAACACTACACCTCGTTTAACATGACTGAAGGACAGCAAGTGCGCATCGAAAGCTTGTTTTTCAATTTGAAAGAACTACAGAATGGTAACAGTTAAAAACGTTTGCAAGGCCATTGCCCAGCTTTTAAAGTTTTTTTTTTTAAATTTTAAATTACTTATTCTTTATATCTCTTAAGATAAAATACTGCTTTATGAAATCATTGTTACCGTTGTGTGGGACTATGATAATTTATATGCGGTAGCTTTTGCATCGTTCTTTGTTGCCAACGTACTGATGCTACCTTTCCTTTGGGGCCAACAAGGTAGACCGAGAAAATGATTATGCGGCATGGACAACACATGGTCTCTACAGTACTTCCTATGTTTTGTGCAATGGAGAGAATTAATCTTTTCATCCTTAACCTAAACTCTTTGAGTACAGGACAGCCGACGGTACCTTTACTAGGAACTGCACATTTTGAGTATATTATTATTATTATTATTATATTTTGTTTAGTCTGTTCTAACCCACCTGTCATTTTAACTTTTTGTGTGTATCACAGGGGCATTAGATTGCATCCTTGACACTTGAAAATTCTTGTCATAATAACAAAAAACGCTGAGATAAGAAATGTTAATATAAAAACAAGTTGGGACTGAGAAAGTTCATCAGTATCACTACAAACGATGATTCCCATGCTTGCCTATAGCGCAGTGGACCACTAGGGTCTAGAAAGATAGGAGAAAGTCTGCAGCTGCAATTACGACAACAGTTGTGATTGTCTCCCTGGCCAAACCAGCTTAAAATTTGCACCGGCAAATAAAGGCTTCATGCATGATTGTGACCATACCATTGTCAGATTCGGATATCTACATTAAAAACAAAATTGGACTACCACCGTGTAAGTAAGGATTAGAAAATTCTTCTTTGCTAAAGTTCTTCAGAAGGCGTAATTGCGCGATACCCAATTACAACATGACTGCGATATAAGCACCTTACATAAACTCATTTTCCCTTACTCATAACTCATTTTCTCTAATTCATAAATTCACTTTCCCTTATTCATAAACGACTTCTTAAGGCATTCGTTCCCGAGTTAGTCTTCCTACATGGCGAAATACAGAGTGTTATTTTAACTTTTTATTTACTTGTGCCAAAGCTTATGAGAGAGGTAACACATAAACAGTGAGCAGAAGTTTGAGAAAGGGGACACCGTGGCGAAGTATTTAATCTCTTGGCCTCGTACTCTGAAGGTTATGCGTTTGATTTCGGATCTGTCTGTTTATGTGTACGTACATTACGAAGATTCATGGGGGTCTTTGCTGGAGCTATGGACTTTGTGCTTTAGGCAACGCTATCGTGGACGACCAGCCGCTTTGCAAAGAGACCTTGGGATAAAGACATGGCACAGTGAAGCAAACAGTCATGTACAGGCCAAATGGAATCAAAAGAGAAGTAGACCATACAAATCATGGACAATGAGGATAACAGAGTCTCTATAGCCCCTATACATAAAGCACACAAAGGGACACTTCTCCCTAACTCAGTTGTCTCCAGCCTTGTGAGTGTGGCCCCCTGGGCATGCCTTAATTATACTTCATTTTGAGACATCAAGGGTGAAAAAGTTATTAAATTACACGAGAGAGAGAGAGAGAGAGAGAGAGAGAGAGAGAGAGAGAGAGAGAGAGAGAGAGAGAGAGAGAGATTGGAAATCCATCCTCTTGTTCACTATTTCATTAGAATGATTGCCTCTCCTCTCGACATATATATTAGGAGTGGGCAACCTTTTTTGTTTCGCTGATCAAATTTTAAATTACCAACCTGGCCATGGGCCAAATAGACAAAAATCCATTATAAACAGGATTTAACTGTAACCTCATATTTATGGGGGATAATCTAAGACTAATCCCTTTCTACGCCTCTAGTCACACACTCACCGACTGAAAAACTATATATCCCTACATGTGTTTGTTTAAGGTAACCTATCTTTGGTCAACCCGAGAAAAAGAATAGTTGTCGCCTTGTATTTTATAATCAAATTCCGCCGTCAGACACTGCCTTTTAATGTCTTTGTCCGCAACAGTGTTTCGCTAGCAGGATCAAAGATTTGGTGGCATCAGTTTCTGATCATGAAGGTTCAGGCTATCACTTTATTTGATGTTGATATTTGCATCTCTCCCACCCCCCCCCCCCCCCCTTTTTTTTTTTTTCAAACCCCCCCCCCCCCCCTCCTTTTCCCTTTTTTTCCTGCACATGAAAGTATGTTTTTTCTGTTCTACTATTTTGTGAGCTCAAGAGCCCGATTATGTAGTAATTTTACACCAGCCAATGGGCTCAGTATAAATAGGTCATCGGGCCAGTTTGGATTATTAAGTCCTTTCACTAGTCATCCCATTGTGCAATTTTTCGTTATTTTGAAGCTCCACCCTGGCTCTTGCCGGGGGCCGCAATATAGCCCGGCCATAAATATGGTCTAATGGCTGAACTCGGTTTCCGGGACCTCTCCAAGGGTGATCCTCATCCTCATGGTGGCACTTTGTGTCATCGGGTGTTTATCGCAAGCATGATGTCCTGGTGGGGTAAAAAGTCAGTCAGTCAGTCAGTTTTGACCCGCTGAACATTTGTTTACCTGTTCCTACCATACACTGTTGTTCATGTAGTTATATTGTTTATATCTAGCTATTGATTGTGTGCACTTATTCTAAGAGAAAGCCTGTGTGGAGCAGAAACTGCACGAAGTCAAGTTGAAGCGTCATTCGCTAGAGCAGGAGATTGAACACGGTTAGTATCTTTGTAGCGCTAGTAAGTTATCATCATAACTTTACATGTAGGGAATAGATCTATATCCAAAATGTTTGAAGTACATGTGACAGAAGTCCTGTAGAGAGACACGCTCGCTTGATGGCCCTAAGTTCTTGTGTTCGAATCGGCACAGGGAGGATTTGCAAAACAAAATTATTTCTGCTCCTAGGTCGACCCTGCTTTAAATAGGTACCAGGCAATATCATAGGAAGTAAAAGCGGTTGGCGTTATGCTGACCACATTACTCTTTGAGAATCAACCCCTAGCATTTGTTAACTGCTTGCAATTTTCCTAGGCAGTTGTAGGTTTCGTGGTTTGGCATTTGAAAACTGAACGGCCAACTCTCGATACAATAAGCTCCTTCTCCTTCTTCTCTTCCACCTTGTACCTCATCGAAATGTAAGGGGGGTAGGGGGAGGGGGATCTAACATTCGTTGATAAGCTCTGTCAAGAGCACTATTAAGACTGATGTTCATTATTATGTTCGATAAAATAAACAGTGAGCTGAAGTTTAGGTAGACTCAGTGGTCAAGTCGTTAATCACTCAGCTTCGTACTCTGAAGGTTATAAGTTTGATTTCAGATACGTCTATTTTTGAGTACGTACGTGCCTTACGTATATCCCTGGGTGTCTTTGTTGTAGCTATGTAATGAATACTGTAAGCAACATATGCTGGGTACACCACTGTCGTGAAATGGGTCCATTATTTTGGAGAGACAAAGTGATCAACACCGCACGATATCAATAGTTACAAGCTCTGCTGATTGGCAAAGTATACAAGTGCACGCAGGCACGCACGCGTACACGCAGGGGCGCCGACACAAATAAAATCATGTAGGCCCCTCGGTGAGGGTGCTCTGTCCTCTTTCACATTTTATGAGGGGAGGGGTCTTAGGGTTCTAAGTCTTGTTCGTGTGAGTAATAATAATCATAATTATAATGTGCTCGTGGCAAGTAAAAGTGATAATAAATTTAAAATAATATGAAAACTTAAAGCAAATATTCGTACTTAAAATAACTGTGCATGACTTAAAGGGGCAGGGTAAAGGGGGAGAGAAAAGGGGGGGGGGGTGTTGGTTGTTGGAAGGGGGAAATTACTTAGCCAGCTTGCAAATGTTTTAGAGAGGTTTAGTCCCCACAGCCCTTTTTGCCTCCTCTCCATTCGGAAAAGGGAACTTAAGGGACCTAAGCCGTCAGGTTCCAGCGCCCCTACACACGCACACACACATACACACACACATGCATACACTTACGCACTCACAAACGTGGGTCAGGTCCTAGTCACACGTACACATACACACATATACACACGCCCACATACACACACATCTACACAGGCACACATACACACACGTACAAATGCACACACACACACGTAATCACACCCACACATACATGCAGATACACACAGTGGTGCACGGTAATGTAAATGTAAATATTGCTGTCCGCAGCTGCCAGTAAGTGTAGTCATGCTCAAGACAAGCACCGGAGAATGTCTGGTAGGTGTTACACGTTATTTAATTCATTTCTGATTTCATGTAAACACAAACAGAGACAAGGGAGCCATGTCATCTCCAGTTTTTTGATTAGAGTAAAGACAAGGACCCTTTTCCACTCCTTCGGACCTATATTTCATAGACCAATCGGCAATTGGTGGATTTTGTGATCAACATCTCACGGCCGCCTTTACTTCCCAGGACTTTACCTGGTACCCATTTAAGGCTGGGTCGAGCTGGAAGCCAGGTAATTCTTGAAAAAAAAGGTTAGCACCGATCGGATTTCAATCCAGGACCTTCGGATCCGCAGATGAGCTTCTAGCCGCTACACCACGGCGGATCCTACCGAGTTATATGGTGCTACTGCTATAGTTTTACTGACCAGTCTGTACTAAATGGGTAGCTAGTTACTTGCTGTCCGTATCGACATCTCAGCGCATCGGTGAATCATTCGTGCAACGTCTTTCCATGCAGCAGCCATCTCAGTATAGTAAATGTGGTCAATATAATTCCGGCCCTTTTTGCTTTGTTGATGCGATCAAAGGAGACAGATTCAAATACTGTCTCGACTGGCGACGAATTTGTCTACTGACCAGCCTATGGGTGACCCGGTCGGCGAGACTGAAAAGGGGCGCTTTCAAATATACTAAGTCATTTACGATCATCAAGTGTCGTGTCGGTAAGCGTAGGCTGTCATGTTTCGCCACCTCACGCCATCACCAGAATAGAGGGATCAGGTAAACATTCTTGTCTCGCTCCTTGTGAATGAAGGAAGTTCACCCCCACCAGAACTGCCCAACGAGCGACAAACAACCGGTGACACAAAGTGCCTCCATTAGTATGAGAACCACCTGGGCGCAAGTCCAGAAAAACCCCGTTGGGTTATATTACAATAGCTGGATTGTGGATTAGGAGGGGGGGGGGGGAGAGAGAAATTGCGTCCCATATTGGTTTAGGTTTCTTCTTCTTCGTCTTCTTTGCGTTCCGTTTCGTATGCTCAGATCAGACCATCAGGTGGGTTGCCTCTATGAACTCTCATGTCAGTAGCAGGTCCTGCATGGTTCCCCATAGCTTGCTCTGCACACTCTGCTCTTGAGGCCAGGTGTCTTTTTGAAGTTGCAGGTAGAGTGGGCATGTCTGCAGAATGTGCTGAGATGTTTGGGGTCCCGTTTGACAGGCACACTGGGGAGCCTCTACAAACTTTTTTTTATGCATGTGGTAGTTAAACCTGCAGTGTCCTGTTCGTAGACGGAAAATTGTTGTATGTTGCTTTCTGTTGAGTCTGCTGATGGGGTCTTGTGAATGTTTACTGTTAGTTTGTTCTCTCCACAATCCCTTGTATTTTTCTTTGATAAGTGTTCTGATTTCTGCTAATGACAATGAATGGGCGTGTTGTTTCTTCTTTGTTTCATTTTTTGCAAGTCTGTCTGCTAACTCATTTCCTGGTATGCCGCAGTGAGCCGCGATCCACTGGAGAACAATTTGATTGTTTTCTGTGAGTTTTAATCAACAGGTCAACATCATGGCACAAGGGGAGTAACCTATAAGTGCTTCGTTCTACTACTAACTCAAGCCTGAGTGTGGACGGCTTCACACAACAGCCTTATCCATATGGCCAAGCCACCCATGTATTTCTCTCTTTGCCATTCTAGTCTTATCTTTTCATCATTCTTACACGTTGTTACCATGTTCTCAAGTCCACTCCAAATAACTTTTCAAAAACAGCCGACTTACTACGTCTGTGTATTCCAGTATGCTTAAGACTTACATCATTGTATCTAATACAACAAACGCAAGGTCGTGGTTCTGTTACAAAGTTTAGCCAGCCTCATTGTGATATATGTTAAATACTGTGTGAAGACACATAACTTCGTCACAAGTCACATCTATGATTGTCTTTCTCTTCTTCAGAGATCCTAGCAGTAGCTCGGCAAAAAGTTGAGCAGACAATGGCTACCTCATTGAGGTAAATAAAACTCGTTTGCTTGTGTTTGATTTCTGGACAACTTCCCCGTCTGGGTTCCAGGGCCACAGTGTGGGGAAAAACAAGAATAGGCCTTCTCAAACAGCAGATAGAGGGAATCGACTAATTCGGAGCTTCCTTCAAAGTTGGAGAGCATCTGCCCGAGCGACTGGGAAAAAACAGCTGTAAACAAACAAGCAAGTCAAACGGATGTACACGCAACACTCAGGCCCTGGCACAAAGCTCAAGTCTAAATGGACGAACAACCAGGACTTCCGCCAGAGTTTACAGCCAGTGAACAAAGAAAAAGAAGAAGATTTCTGAACAACTGTCTTTAGTCCCTATGTGTACCAATTTTTTTAGGGTATTGTACTACAGGGTGGTCTTGTGCCTGATCATTTAGGACCGCATAGCTAGTGCAGTCACTATGGACTGTGCAAATTAGGGATTTTCTTTTGCCCTCGGCAGAAACAAAACTCACCACCTTACCAAGGATTCGAACCTGGAATTCTCCACTGAGAATTCAGAGTTACTAACTGCTCGGCCAGCCGCCCTTCTTTCCTTTCTCGACAATAGTGTGGCTATATTCAAAGAGTAACCTGTCCAGGAACGGTAATTGTCCTAGCTACAAGCAACACCGGATCTGTGATTGACTATACTCATTGGATTTTCCTCCGTAGCTTCTTCTTCTTTTTAGCGTCTACCGGCAGTAAACTGAAGCGGAAAGTTTTGGTTGTTCATCCATCTCTGGACTTTAGACTTGTTCCAGAACCTAAGTGTTGCTTGCACATTCCGTTTTACAGATGAGATATATTTGTATGCAGACTTTTGGTTCCTTGCCTTTAAGGCAGATGCACTCCAACTTCGAGATATACCCCCAAGTAGTCGACTCTTACGACATACTCGATAGGAAGGCAGTGGATCTATTCTTGGAACCCACACGGCGATTCCTCAGCAGCATAATGTGTTCTCCTAATTTCAACATTTGGCGAGAACGTAACAGTAAACCTTGGATGAACCGCCATTGTCCGGACTGGGCTGTGACTGATAACCGAACTGATAGATAACAGATATTAATACATATGTACAGTAACGTGATTTCATCGTGGGCTTGGGATGGAAATGAAAATAGCTTCGTTTAAAAGTTAATAATACCTGCATATTGGTGTATTTAATTTTACAAAAGGATCAACAGAAACTTCGAAATAAAAGTAGAAATACACTGTAATACCATAAAATTAAGTTACTAAAATTTTCTGTCGTCTCCTTTGTTTTTGAGGTTTTTGTTTGCTGATACTAATACATTTTATAAGACGATAACAGATAACAGAAATTGACGGTTAACGAGGGTTAATCGAAGTTTTACTGTAATAAAGAAACCTGATTTTCACATGCCCTACTCATAAACACCATGGATTATATATATATGTGTGTATGTGTGTCTGTCTGTCTGTCTGTCTGTCTGTCTGTCTGTCTGTCTGTCTGTCTGTCTGTCTGTCTGTCTGTCTGTCTGTCTGTCTGTCTGTCTAGCTGTCTGTGTGTTTGGTTTACATTACTCGCTACTGCTTATCTTTTCTGGTAAACTACTGAACATAAAACTGCCTAGTAAAAAAAAAAACAGAGAACCAATGTTGGGGTTGGTGCGAAACGCCATGTAAAGGAAAGGCAACTAACTTATTTGTCAGTGTACTGTCGGCTCTGTGGCTAAGTCAATGCGAACGCTTCGTAATGCCGGGGTGCCGAGTTCGATCCCAGCTGCGGGCCATGCGCCTTGCGTTGGTTTCGACAGTGGTATCAGGGAGCCGACCGTCCAGGGAGCAATGGCAGACTACTGGACGTAAATTTGCCTAGAGAAACCACACAACAGCCAAGGGCGGCTGGGGTTGGTTCTGCAACGTCCTGTGAAGGATACGCAACTAACGTTAACAACACTTGTCTGTTTTCAGTTTACAGGCAGACATAGAGCAAAGTCGACCTAAACTAGATCAGCTGCAGGACGCCATTGAAGCCGAGAAGAAACTGCAGCTGCTGAAACTGTAAGCTCTTGTGTTGTGTGACTGCAAAGCAAATAATTTATCAAATTACAAGTCAAATGCTTTTGTGTCATGTCGTGTCTAATTACTACCAGACCAACAAAAGAATTATTATTCTTATATGTAGCAGTAGGTACGTACAGAGCTGTGCAGACTAGTAAAAAAAGTAAAGTAAAGGACCCCTTTTCCACACCTTTAGGCGTATAGGGCATATAGGGCTAGACCTATATTTTATAGACCAATCGGCACAAGGTGGGTGATGTGGTCAGCATTGCACCGGCCGCTTCTACTTCCTGGGACTACACCCGGTGCCCACTCAAGGCTGGGTCGACCTGGAGCCAAGATCATTTTTTAAAATAAGCCTGGCCCCGCCAGGGAGCGAACCCACGACCTTTCGATCTGCGGCGAGCTTCTAGCCATTCCGCCACGGCGACTCCCTGTACAGACTAGGTTAGTTGATAATGATGAATCTCTAATTATACTGACACGATTGCGTGACATATGAGTAAAGGATAGTGAAAAACGACTATGCCACCTTCGAGGCCGAGATAGGAGACATTATAACCCCGATGGGGAACAATCACCAGAGGCACCATGGAGTCGCGACTGCATCGGAGGACGGAGCACGCATGGTAATGCCTAATTTGTCGTGAAATCGAATGTAATAACTCCCATTATTATGTTCTTGCTAGTTTAGACATGGTTGCAAGTCGCTATAGAAAGCTGTAGTGCATTTCCTAGTGCAGCGGCTCTAAACCTGCAGACCACGACCCTTTTAGGGGGTCGAACGACCCTTTCACATGCGTGGCCTAAGACCATCTGAAAATACATATTCATTGAAGTCACGATATAGAGGGTCACCACAAAATACGGAACTGTATTAAAGGGTCGCGGCATTAGGAAGGTTTAGAATTGCTGCCCTAGTGCCATGTGTGTTGAGTTATGTTGCGAACCAAATAACCCGCACTCGGGATATTCCCTTAAGCGCTCCGTCCCCAGCTTTAGCAACCAGTGCGGAGTTTTAAATCCGTTTGTACTAGTAGCACTTTGACTGCATACCTGTCTTGCCTTTTGACAGATTGTTGAGTGTTAGGTTCACAAGTGTGTGTGTGTGTGTGTGTGTGTGTGTGTGTTTTGTTTTTAATTCTCTCTAGAAATAAGGTGCCCGTACCATGACCGGCTTCAGCTGATGGGCCGTGCTGCTGACGTCACCGGACCGGGCTTATGATGCGTTAACGCAGCGGTTCTCAAACAAGAAATAAACTTAAGACAAATTTAATTTTAAATTTTATGTATCTACATGCCTTCTTTAAAAATTTCACAATTTTGAGCCGACTTTTCTTGATTATTGCCGCGGCACCCCTGGCATACGCTCATGGGACCCTAGGGTGCCTCGGCACCCAGTTTGAGAAGAACCGCTGCTTTAACGCATCGTTAGCCCGACCCGGTTACGTCAGCAGCTCGTCCCGTCGGCTGGAGCCGGTCTTGCCTGTACTCACCATGAAGTGTTTATAAATCCGTACCGGTATTCGACACAAAGTATCTAATAAAAAAAACTGCTGAAAATAGTATAAAATGTATATACCGTCCTCTGCTCCACAGTGAGGAATTTGAAACTAGCTTGCTGGGAATGTCTTCACAGTTGTTTAGTGCCAGAGATTTCTATGTAAGCCTTTGTTTCACTTCTGTGTTGATATATGTTTAGTGTATAGTGTTCGTATTTCTTGTAAAAAAAAATCGTTCTTAACTAGGAAGCGAAAGACAAACATTAAAAAAGCAAACACCACAGAAGGGACGAATTAAGGTAAACCACTAAATGATATAGTCAAAGGACTATGTACAGTCGAGTACAACGATTTTCCTGCTGCTACGCTATTCTGGCGCTCATCTCTTCATCGCGGAGGGGTGGCGATTAAGGCGGCCCTAAAGGAGCAGCAATTCAACAAAAACAAATCAGAACGGACTGAATTGAATCCCTCACCTTATGAACCCTAATTTCCAGCCCGCACTGCATGAGAGCTTTCCATGTCAAGATTTGCGTTAGAAGTCACCCATTTACCTATAATTCTTACTATGTTTAACGAATGAAAGGACTGCGCCTCAGAACCTGCATTACCATCAACAATAAAGCCAAAAGCAACCATTGGCTGGTATTTTGGTTTCGTTTTGTGAAGAATGACATGTCTTGTTGACCTGTCCGTTTTTTACTTCGTGCTACTATCTGACTGTGTGACAGCCTAAGATTACTAAATCACAGTCTGGATGGCAGACATACTGGAAAAATCCCAGATACCTTGTTAAAGCTCCAAAGAAGTTATAATTATGGCACCTGTAACGGCTACACAAGCCTAGTGTTAACGGGCAGTCCTGTGCGGGTAAGGATATTACTAAACAATGGCCATATCGCGCAGACATGTCTTGGCAGCCATTTTTTCAACAGCTTTAAGACAGCGAAAATAGTTCTATTTGAGACATATTCTGAGAAATGGCGATAGTAAACTGATAGTATATAAATAAGCCTGTGTGAATGATAAGTCAAGTCATTGATTTTCTCTTGTGTAATAATCATCATCATCATAAGTTCTCGTTATGCCTAGTGGCATATGCGGCTTCAGAGAGGACTTTCCATGCTTTCCTGTCCTGTGCAATCTTCAGTGCAGTTTGCCATGTCAAAGATGCCGCACTCAGGTCACTTTCCATCGTTCGTCTCCATGTTGTTTTTGGGCGCGCCCCCTGTTTTCCTCTTTCATGTGAGAGCTGTATTGGCCTCTGGTTTCCACGTAGCCATTTCATATCTCTTTATATACTTGTGTCATAATATAGAAAAAAAAACGGTCTCTGGAAAAAGAAGAAGAGGACGATTTGAAGGGGAAGAGGATAGCGGAACAAGGAGGGGAAAAAAAAGGGGGAGGGGGGAAGCACCAAACGTATCACGTTGTTTTTTGTTGTAATTAAAGTACAGTAAAGAGCGTTATTTTTTTTAATATAATAGGTCAGTAGTCTTAACGATGTGGTTAGATTCACGTTGTTGTTGTTGTTGTTGTTGCTGGTTATTTTTTTAAACAATGCATAGATAACAATAATCTCCCAGGGAGAGACCAGGGGATCTAGCCGACAGTCCACTTTCAGAGGAAAGACAATGCAGACATACAACTAGACTGCCACTAGCTCCATCGGAGTGGGAACTCTTTGCTGGCTGCTGACGATGGGGACGGAGCGCTTATGGGAATGTCCCGACTGCTGTGATGAATGTCGTTTCTTTAAATTCATCTCAGCGCAATATTATTCTCCCTAAATTTGCTTTAAGAATTGATATAACATTTATATAACCAGAAAAGTAACAGCTCGTACCACATTATGAGACTAGCATGTTATGTTGTTAAGTTCATCAGTACTACATGCCTTTAAGGTTGCCTCTCTTAAAGGTTCATATTTGCAGTTTTGGGCGGGCGAGTGATGAGTGATCTTCGTGGCTGTTTTCCTCTCACTCTAAGGGTAAGGGATTCGCTTCAAAAGAAAGTCGATCAATTCACGAGTGCGTTCATAAATGAATCTGCTGCCTGTGATTGTGGAGCAGAAAGACAGACCCCTGAGCACATACTGCAGTACTGCCCTAACTTCTCCCAGCAAAGACTGGATCTGGCCCAAAGGAGCCACATTGCAAGAGAAGCTATAGCTTTCCTATTTGTGACCCAACGGGACTCAAGTAGCGTGATTAATTCAGAAGAAGAAGAAAAAAAAACGAGTGCATTTATTACCGTGATCTCTGCAGGTTTCGCTGGAGCTGCGGAATTCGTTCTTTATGCGTAGCTCTCGGCAGGAGTTTAGCCCTTCTGCGGAGAGAGACCACGCTATATGGGATAATCCAATGCTCTGAAGTCTATCTTCACGACTTTAACTTTATTTGTAATTGATTTTCACCTCTTCAGAAAAATTCCAACTTGCAAAATGAAATAAACAGCACACAAAAAGCGCACATGGAGCTGGAGCAACAAGGTAAGGAACAAGAATTAACATTTTAATTAAATAAAAAAGCGAATGAGCAGCAACAGCCAATAACAAGACAATTTAAGGCAAGGAATTTCCCAGTTACGTCAAATTACAGTTAGTCGCGTCTTCTTCACAGGACGTTGCAGAACCAATCAAAGCATGTTTTTTCCTCTCTCTCTCTCTCTCTCTCTCTGTGTGTGTGTCTGTGTGTATGTGTGTGTGTGTGTGTGTGTGTGTGTGTGTTTCTAACAATTTAAGTTCAGTATTTTGACAGTGCGGCTGAAAGGTCGGCTTACGATACCAACGTCGAAATCAACATCAATGGGTCTGCTGCCGTATCGCCCACAGCTGGAATCGAACCGGGTGTCTCTGATTTATCTCAGTGATTAAGAAATTAATATACTGTTTAAAAAAAAAAGAGTTTATTCTGTCCTGAGTCTTTACTCAGTTATTCATCGAGTGGGGGGGGGGGGATAAAATTATGAAGAGAATTGTGATAAAGGATAAAATAATTGTAGACAGATTGAGAGCTAAGCGTCTGAGAAAAAGCAAGTTAAATAAATGCAATGGCAACAGTGACACTGAAAACTCGTGTTCGGAGGACTTTTTTGTTTTTAACGCGAGCGGGTCTTACTTGTGACACTTACTGCCATGAGCTGTGAACCTCACGAATTCCTATTGCACACTGTAATACTATCAACTGCGAAGACGCAAACGGTGCCAACAATATAGGCTTATGGATTATATGTCTTTGTACAGCCTACTTAACAGTTTTTTTTGGACCACCTTCTTAACAGTATTATGAGCCCCTGGGCAAAACAGTATGCTGGGACCCCTATGACAACTAGTATGGCAAGTCACTTTACATACACAGATTAGCATGGGCCCATATGCTCATGGGGCACCAGGGGCAAATGTCCAGCGGGCCCAGGCGTTACGACGACATTGATCGGCTGATTATTTTTCATATAAATTTATGGCACCAGCATCGTTTGCTCGATACTACTCGAAGAGTACAGTTTATACAAAACTTGGATGCATATCACCTTCAAGTATGTTTAAAGCATGTCCCAACATTAGTTGCTGTTTGTGGTTTTACTAGGCAATTGTACGTTCAGTAGTTTGCCATTGCTTGGTAAAGTTACAACACACATACCGTTGTAGAAGCAAAATAATGCGGTCTACTACCTAATCGTCTCAAGCTGAATCGAATGCAGTTATTGGGAATGACACTACGTTCACAATCCCTAATCCAGATGCTGACAAAGGATTAGAGATAAAACCTGTAACCTTTTGTTCTTTCCATTCCTGGTTTTGGAAATTTTTCTAAGAAACCATATTTCCGCTGACATCAACTGTTTATTGCCTTGTTGGTTAATTGCCCACGTTTCATACCCACCCCCCCCCCACACACACACACACACACACACACACACACACACACACGCACGCACGCGAGAACACACACACACACTGGTAAAGGTTATACATAGAAATTTAACACTGGCTTGATCGCTGCAATTCATAAACTTTTTGCAGAGAGGAATACGTGTTAAAATGCTATATAGAGCCTTTATTGTACTTATTGCATAGCTACAGTAGTAGTAGTGGTAGCAGTAATAGTACTAGTAGTAGAAGTAGTCGGTGTCAGGTCTTGATCAGGTATGACTGAGCTACCGTTTAACAGTTGCCTGTACCACCTGTCTTCTGCTAACACCAAATGTTGGGCGGCGTATACCAAAACTGACATCCCATATTCTGTCAACGGCCTCTGGGGAGGATACTAGCCTTATCCTAGGAAGAGGAAATGCAGCCTGAAAACTTCTGTGTTATGACAGGCTAGACCAGGTCCTTAGCCTTGTCTGGCAGCTGGTCTAGGAGGGAAGCTCTGATAGGCAGACCGGTAGAGCACTGCTCTTCTCATCTGGCAGCTTCTGCAGCCTGCTTTGTTACAAGCGTACTGGCGTTACCTTTCCTTTGGAGTAAACAAGGCAGGACAGGGATCATAATACATGGGTAACAAATTGTCTCTACAATACTGCCCAGGTCTTGTGTTATGGAAGGATGAATTTCATCCCTGGCCGTAACTGGTCTCCGAAATAAATCAGGAAGGCATCAGTTACGGGCTATTAGTCCTTGTTAATTGGCATAGACGAGAGCGGCACGGGTTGCCTCTAATGGTGGGAGTTATAAAGCGATGCCTAAGAAGAATACTTGGCATTAGGTGGCAGGAAAAGATCACAAACACTGAGGTATTGGAAAGAGCAGGCATTACAAGAGTCTTCAATGCTGAGTCTTCGAAGGCTCAGGTGGCTAGGTCACACCTGGAGAATGGAGGATGGCAGAGTCCCTATAGACATCCTCTATGGTGAATTAAAGTCGGGAAGAAGATATCGAGACCGACCTCTACTACGATATATTGATGTGTGCAAACGTGACATAAATGATACAGATATTGAGGTGGACTCTGGGAACAAAATGCCTTGGACAGCGTTGTGTGGAGCGGACACATCAGGAAGGGAGTGAGTATGAAGGAAGAAATGATTTCAGAAAGGATGGGAGATGAGCGTCTGAGAAAAAAACAGACTTAACATAGATGTTGACAGCAACGATGCCAAAATCCCATGCTATAATTGTGGAAGATCTTAACGCGGGCGGGTCTTGCTAGTCATACTCGCTATCGCCGTGGGCTGTGAGTCCCATGTCTCCTCATAGCGCAATATAACACTATCGTCTGGAAAGTCGGAAAGGTGCTAATTCAGTAGACGTAGTAGTAGTAGTAGCAGCAGCATAAACAATAGTAGTAGTAGTAGCAGCAGCAGCAGTAGTAGTAGTAGTAGTAGTAGTAGTAGTAGTAGTAGTAGTAGTAGTAGTAGTAGTAGTAGTAGTAGTAGTAGTAGTAGTAGTAGTAGTAGTAGTAGTAGCAGCAGCAGCAGCAGCAGCAGCAGCAGCAGCAGCAGTAGTAGTAGTAGTAGTAGTAGTAGTAGTAGTAGTAGTAGTAGTAGTAGTAGTAGTAGTAGTAGTAGTAGTAGTAGTAGTAGTAGTCAAATTCTACGTTGAGTAGTGGGTCAGCTCTCGGTACTACTGTCAAAACCAACGCAAGACAAAGCGTCCGCAGCGGGATCGAAGGCTGGTCGTACACACTCAAAACTGAATGCACACGGCATTTAACCAAATGATTACATAAACACTTATGAAAGTTTTAGATAATTTTTTTGTAGGCATATCTATGTTTCATTTTCCTGATGGGTAACATGTTTTAGAAAACACATTTTAAATTACCCCTCCCTCCCCCTCCCGCCAACCCATCCCCCTTGCCTCTGGAAGTGTACAGAGAGAACAAAAATGTTGAGAACTTGACCACACGTTTGGAAAAGTTGACCCAAAGTGAACAGTCTTCAGCCTTGATAAAATCTGGCATAGAAGAATCTCTCTACATCTGCTGCAGGTAAGTGCTGTTGTCATACTTTTGTACACACACAGAAACATTTCAATGGCATTTTTTTTTTTAACGGACTAGAAGATGCACCACTCATCTGACGGTATCAAATGTGTGTGCAGTTATAATGTTCTAACGATTTTTTTCGCTAAGACTTTTGTTATAGCTATAAAAATGTCATTGGATTAGAGGTTGTGAATGCAGTTTCATAATTTTACATACCATGGTTCGAATTTAGCTGCAGGCAATTTGACAGCAGACGGATTTGAAATTATTTCAGCAACGGTGCGAGCCTTCAGACATCGATAGCTAACTTATGAAGGTAAAACTGTGGTCTTCTTCTTCTTCTTCTTCCAGATGTAACATTCGTTGATGAGCTATGTTAAAAGCACTATTAAGATTTATGTTCATTTCTGTAAGGTTGTTCCTAATGCCATCACTCCATATTTTCCGAGGTATTTCACTCGCTCTATACCCGTTCTTCTCTTCTATCTTGTACCTCAGTGAAGTGTCGGGGGGAGATGTAACATTCGTTGATGAGCTCTGTTAAAAGCACTATTAAATTAATGTTCCTTTCTGTAAGGCTGTTCTTAATGCCATGACTGCATCATTTCCGAGGTCTTCAACTCGCTCTTTACCCGTTGTAACGTTTTAATGTGGCTCGCTGTGACAGATAGTACCAGGGCATTTGTTGTTCTTTGATAACTTGTAAGACTGGCTTTATTTCTAGCATTCTTCAGGTTTCGTATTCTGTCTTACCTTGAAACTCCTGCAGCTCTTCTATGGCATTTCATCACTGTTGTCACAATTTTACGTTTACTGGAGGAAGTAAGTGTCCACGTTTGGCACTGATAGCACAGTGTTGGCCACAGAATAGTGCGGATAAGATTCACTTTAGTACTGCGGGTTATCGGCAGGCAGGTAACCATTCTTAACCCAGTGCAATGAAATAGATCCTCTGTACTTAAACCTGGACTCCAGAATATACCCGGGTAGCTTGTCCACAACTCTGAGGCTAAGGACATGTAAGAGGGCCCTTTACACGCCTGTGGTGCATCTGGCATATAGTGAGGAACTTTTCTTATCATAGACCAGTCAAAGATAAATGGGTAATGTGGTCAATATCTCTTGTATCAATATTAGTTTTGGGCGACCTGGGACTGACTGACTGACTGACTTTCTACCCCACCAGGACATCACACAAGCGATAAACACCCGATGACACAATGTGCCACCATGTGGATGAGGATCACCGTGGAGAGGTCACAGTAACCGCGTTCAGCCATTAGGCCATATTTATGACCAGGATATATTGCGGTCCCTAGCAAAAGCTAGGGCGGGGCTTAAAAAAACGAAAAATTGCATCTCACAAGGAGATGACTGAAGTATGTTGCGACCTGGGAGCCAAGGAGAGTGTAGAAAAGAAAATCCCTCTCAGTGTGAATCTGAACCCTAACCTTTGAATCGACAGACAGGCGTAGCCACTTAACTATCACGTTTCCCTAAGACATTTAACATAATTTTTTTTTTTTTTTTTACACATTTTCATCACATACTGTTTTTGTGTGTGTTGTGCTGTGTTTATATTTAATAAGTGGGGATCATAATAAATTGGCGATATGTTCTCCATTGTGTATAAATTACCAGAGTTATGGAACGTGATGAAGAGGACATCAGAGCTGATCTGAGTCGCATTCAAGATGAGCTGCAAGAGATCCGTGAGATTATTCATTGTGTCGAGTAGGGCGAGTTTTTCAAACTCGGTGTGCAGACATTGCAAGAGCATAATCTTTAGAAAACTTCGAATTATTATTCTACGTTTGTTTGCATTTTATTTAAAAAGGCTTTGTTAAAAATAAAAACTTCTGGTGATTTGATGTACGCAATGTGGCTCTGTTATTAGTCGTTCACGTGTACAGCCTTGCATTTCGACTTGATTTTTACTGGCTGCAGCAGTACAGTGCAGTATATTGTCTCAGGGTGACACAAAGGTAAAGGTCAGAGGATCAACTTCATTGCAACGGATGTTATCCCATATGGGCTCAGTCTCTTTCCGCAGAACAGCTAGCTGCCTGTCGAGGCACCAAGCACGACCTCCGTTGTTTCGGCGACGATCCCCGGGAATCTCCATAGAAATTGCACTCATGAACTAAAAGATTGCAGCCATGGAACAAACCCGTCACCTTCAGATTCAAAACGCCGCTCCTAATAGCTGCGTGCTGTCTGATTAAAAGTTCAGTTGTATTTTTCGCTGCTTATGCCGCCCCCTTTACTTTGCCGCCTGATGCGGTCACATCTCTGTATCATAGCACGGTAGTGCCCTGGGCTGCAGGATTATTTGTTTAAGAGCACAGTGTTTACGTTAGATCTAGAGCAGTGTGCCAGGTTTGGCACCTAGGCACACTGGATTCGAGCATACTGATAAATGTTTTTTTCTTTTCTTTCTTTGTTGTTGCAAATTTTGTAACTTTATAGCTTTAATCTGGAACAAAGCTGACGCGACACCTAATGATTTCCAGATACTGATGGATTTTGCTGGACACAAAGGTCCCTAAGCATTTTTGTAAAAGTAAAGTAAGTAAAAGACCCTTTTCCACGCCTTTAGGCGTATAGGGCATATAGGGCTAGACCTATATATTTATAGACCAATCGGCACAATATGGGTGATATGGTCAGCATCACGCCGGCCGCCTTTACTTCCCGGGACTGCACCCGGTACAAGCATTTTTGTACTTTGCGTACAAGTATGTAGACTATAAACGTAGGAACGATTTGCAGATATATTGCAAAATATATTGACATCATACGAAGCAATATGAACTCTCAAATAATAGTGCTCAATATGCAACATAATTTTGCACAAATTTTAATTGTCAACTGTGGCTATACAGACTGGTAAGACAGCACAATCCAAAACCAGATGAGATGACCACAAGAAACGTTACCATAAATATAGCAGAAAATGGCGGTAATAAGCTGCGCTTTCCGACCCTTAGTTGAACGTGGTCACGGTTACAATTGAACTGAACTGAATCCAGACATTATCAAAATACAAATCTGTTATTCAAATCAAAATATAATTACCCAAAATGTTAAGCATCTGCAAGTTTAAATAATGTGGATACAAAAAATACCTTGCACAATTTATTGCCAGGCATATGTCGCTGTAATCATTAGGTGCGTTACTTCAGAGTTACATAAAATAAAGCACAAAACTAAATTAATTCAACTGAAATGCGAATAGTTTCTTCCGATACATTATGTGTGTTTTATGGCCGCAGGAAGCTCACCGCAGTCACGTGACTTACCAGGGTAACTTCAAATTTACGATAAATTCCGTCTGCTTAAAAAGAAAGGGGTTGTTGGTTTTTATTGTTTAAGCTTCGGCGATTCTCAAAAGTCTCCTGTTCTGAGTTTGGTAAACCACACGGAAAGCACTGTCTGTGTCATGTATGTGTCCGAAATTAAGTAGATGGCGTCCTATGGAAGAAGCGGGTTCTTTCCTCTTGACTGGTCTCGACACCCTAGAAGAATCACTGAGCTGTGTATGTAGCCATTTATGTATGTGCTCTGCCACTCTATTTCCAAGCTGTCTCTCTGTTCGACCGATGTAAGTCAACTGGCACTTACATGTGTATTGCACCCCACCGAACTCTACCCCGAACGAAATTACGGTATCCAAACTACGAGTATGTCAGGCTCTGTCACTACCTGAACCCATTACCTTCAGACCCACAGGCGAGCGTCTAGCCGCTACACCACGTAGCTATATGATAACAGCACTGCTTTGTTTTTAACATTACTCTCTTTCTTCCTTCCCCTGATAAATTATGAGATGTAGCAACGTGTAGAACAGAGAGACGTATTTTACCTTTTTCATATTTCGAACAACAAGTATAATTATTGTCCTTATAACAACAAATGTGACACACTGATATTCACAGAATTAGCTCTCCATAATGCATAAAACATTGGAGATCGGCACCCTGGCATTACAAAACTCGTTCGCGACACCACAAGTCATTACTTTAAATCTCGTCTCCCTAAAGTGAAGTCCTTCCCATATTAAGTACTCTGTATTATTTATCTGTGCCCGAAGGAAATGTTGAGCTCAAAATGACATGCATTTAGGAAGGTGGAAGAAATAAAAGAAATGTCTAGGCAACCACTTAGTCTTAGTCGAGGTTTCAACTTCACAGCAATCGGGTTTCCCCATACTTTCTCCGTTCTTGTGCCAGTGAAAATCAAATGACGTGTCCTTCACTGTCCAATTTGAAAAACGGTGAACAAACAATTAGTCCCGGCACAATCCAGAAATATGCGCACGTAGTAAATGCATATTTCAGTCTCTAGAGTTGCCAAAACCAACAGTCGTCACCAAAAATGCAATTTTTCGTTGATGGAAGTAGTTTAGGCACTAGTATCAACAGTTATAAGACAAAGAAGATAGTTCTATATCTGACACATTCTGAGAAGAAACGAGCATAACATCGACAAACACGCACTAAAAATGAAATCAAGGGTGTCAGGGAGTGAGGACGCTAAAAAAAAAAATCCTAAAACGAAGGTTGGTGAGAAAAGCCAAAGGTGCTGAATTAAATTCCATCCACTCTGTTGAATCGATTACACATGACAGAACGTAATAATGAAGGACTCGACAGCGAGCCCCACATGACATATATAAAAGCCCAGCAGGACAATAAATGCTGATTGCCACATATCTGCGCAGGTCTAAACCCCAGGAGTGATTCTTTGTCTTTCTTCTCTTACACAGCGGATCTGTAATCTTTGGACAGACGTGCATGAGAAACGTGCAGACAAGTAAAATAGTTAGTAACAAAATGACAATAAGCTGTCTTTTGATAACTTCATCTTTAGAATTCTCACACATGGGCCCCTCACTGTACTCATTAGCGTTGCTTTTGACTGTATCACTTTCCTTATTTATAGAATTCTGATAGTCAGTTAACGCCTCCGCTTGATGCTCTCCCTTCCTTTCTGTAGCTTCTGACTGCTGTGTTGCTTCACCCTGAACCTGCCTATGGCTTCCATCTTTCACTACGGGGAGTTGTATTGTGACGTTGTTGGTATATCCTTCAACTGGCGAGACTAAAGTATTTGTGATGCCCAGGGTACATCTTCACTTTAAACCTGTATAGTCCTGCCTGAGAAACATTAATTGTTGCTGAACAGATGGCAGAGTTATAGTCCGCTGTTCCATCTTTGAATGGACGCGTTTTGGTACAAGATTGTTCCCGTGTATACCATAACACTAGAACTATTTCCAGAATCAAAGTTATCAATAATGGAGCAAAACTGCTGAGATATTTCACAAGTGACAGTAGGATACACTTTGGACGTTTCACACATGACTTTAATACGTTCATGAGGAATTTCCTCGGCTACACACACTGGCCTGTGTGGAGCGTGATACACATGCAGTAGAAATGACTGTCTGCTGTAGTCTCCGCCATCGTCTTCGCAGTGGAACGAATGATCTCTGTGTCCAGGGCCGACTTGGCGGATAGTCAGTCTGCTGGTGTACTTCCGGTATGTTTCTGATTGCACAGCCATGTATCCTTCAGCGTCGTAGTTGATGCATCGTTCGTTGCCAGGGTGACATTTGGATAGGATTGTGCCGTTGGATGTCCACCAGATGTTTCTACATAAGATAAAGCATATGTATTTAAGTATGTGTGTATGTGCGTCTTTTTGCTGTTTCTCCCCCCCCCTCTCTCTCTCTCTCTCTCTCTCTCTCTCTCTCTCTCTCTCTCTCTCTCTCTCTCTCTCTCTCTCTCTCTCTTGCACTTTCTTCAATCCCTCCCGGTTTATTGAAGCAGTCCATATAAAAAGGAAGGTCAGTTGCGAATCCTTTACAGATCGTTACAGAACCAACCCCAAGGGCTGTTGTGTGATTTTTCTAGGCAAAATTACGTCCAGTAGTTGCCATTTCCCCTGGACGGTCGGCTTTCTTGATGCCACTGTCGAAACCAATGCAAGGCGCATGGCCCGCAGCTGGGATCGAATCCGGCATCCCGGCATTACGAAGCGTTCGCATCGACTTAGCCACAGAGCCGACAGTCCATATATACCAAGTTCAAAAAGATTCTTAAGAGGACACGTGAGAGTGTTACCTTTTTCTTCTTCTTCTTCTTCTTCTTCTTTTTTTACTTCTGTTTCTTGTTTTCCTCATCCTCTTTCTCCTCATCACCGTTCGTAGCGGCTTCAACTTCAATGCAGTGGGCCACCCCATAATTTTCCATTCTTGGGTCAGAGAAAATTGCCCAAAATGCTTATCACTTCCCATTCTGAAAAGTCCCGAAAAATATATAAGACAACAGAGTGCCGATACCATCAGTTCGCTACCAGAGTTGCAGCTCATCATAGAAACAAAGCTGAAATCGCGAGACAAGTCTGCAGGGTGCACACACAGTGGTACTAAGGTTGTCGGTTCAGTGACTAACCGCCATTATCTTCTTCTTCTTTTTATTATTATTGTTGTTGTTATCATTATTCTTTATCGTCGTCTTCTTCTTTTTTATATCAGATCTGGAACAAGCATCGGTCATCACGACTCCCTTCTTCTTCTTCTTTCTTCTTCTTCTTCTTCTTCTCCTCCTTCTTCTTCTTTTCTTCTTCTTCTTCTTCTTCTTCTTCTTCTTCTTCTTCTTCTTCTTCTTCTTCTTCCGGTCATCATCTTCTCTTCTTCTTCTTTTTCTTCTTCTTCTTATGCTTCTTTTTCTT